CCCCCCCCCCCCCCCCCCCCCCCCGCGCAGTTGGCCAGATAACCAGATCTGGAATTGCTTGAAATCGATCCTCTTTCTGGGAATTGCATGGCATGCACGCTTTGCCGTGCCCACATCACACGATGCTTCGTAGTCATGCAATGATCATATACTAGTCTTACCTCATGCCAAAGCTGCTTGCTAACTTGCATGGGACTGAAGTGCCTGCGAGCCTCGCAACGAGCTCCAGGGCGACAAGGACGTGGGTGGACGTTATACGATCTCGGGGTTTTTGCGGAGCAGTTTCGGTGCAAACGGCAGACACGGTCGCACGTCTGACGCGCCAGGCGAGGCCGGGCTGGATCGGCGCAATTGGGCTGAGCAGCGGGGCGATTCCTGAAGTTTCGTCCAAAATGGCGAATTTCCAGGCTGCCCTGCCTGGTCGACGCACTCTTGGGAGCCACGCAGCCGTGGGCCATTTGGGCACGGCTCAACCAACGTGCAGCCCTTCACGCCGCGCGTCAGCTCAAGCGACCGCCCCGCCCGAAAACCCGTCAGCCCGGCTGAGCCCAGCAGGTCCGCAGGGCGTGGACAGAGCGCGGACGCCTCGAGTTCGAGCTCGACTTTTTCGTGCGGTGCGGGCGGCGGCGGCTGCTCAGCGCATGCAGACAGAGAGCCAACCCGGCCCATCGCAGCTCTGCCCAGGCCAGAGAGCCCGCGCCCAGAGAGCGCTCCCTCGCTCTCGCATATCGCTCGCTCGCCAAAAGCGGCGCGCTCCCATCGCCGTCGAGCCTGTCTATCCGTCTTCGTGTCGTTCTCCCTCTCCTCCCTCCACCGACATCTCGACCATCGCCATCCTCAGAGGTACCGGATCCACTTTGACCAACTCCGCGCGGTCAGCCGATCCCTCCCCCGTCAGGCACCTTGAAACGCAGGTCGATTCTCTCTCCCCACCGACCGGCTCCCACTCAAGTGTGTCGACACACGCGCATCCAGCCTCCAGCATCCAGCATCCAGCATCGCAGTAGCTGTCTGTGCTCGGACCTGCAAGACCTCGACGCAAGAGCTTCGGCGCATAGGGACATCCGGCGCCCTCTTTTCCGCTGCTATATAGCTGCGTAACCGAAGCTTGTAGTCGGTATTTTCGCAACAAGCTCGACCGCACAGATCATCGCCACTACCTTGCTGCGGATTCCTGTCACCATTGCGTAGGACCCATGTCCTTTTGGCGCAACTGAGAGGTACAGCGATCACCATTCGCACAACCCCTCCGGACACTCTCTTCTGCTCGCTTTCCCCCGCACGAGCCCATAGCCACACTCTCCGCCAATCCTCTCTCTCTCTCGATAGATCCCTGCCCTCGACCAAGATGCTGTCCACACCTCAGCCCTACCCGACCGTGGCCAATAACGCCCCGGCGCCCGACGATGCCCAGATCGAATCGCGCATGCCCACCGTCTGCGTCGACTATCTCAGTCACCAGTGGACCGACGAAGATGTCTGGAGCTCCTGGAAGGCCATGACAAAGCAAAAGAATCAGATCGCAAACGGCGTCAGGCTCGAAAACGCAAGTTGGCGCACCTGGGCAAAGCAGCGCGGCAATCTCAAGACCATCAGCCCAGAGACCCTCAACTGGCTCAAGGACAGCGATGTCACCTGGCTCTACGGACCTCTGCACGAGCACGTCGAGTCGGTCCCGCCTCCCAAGCAGGCCACCATGGCCGATCGCCTTGATCTGGATGACGGCCACCACGTGCGCTCCATCCTCAAGCATCGCACCATCTCCGACATGCTCACCACCCCAGGCAACGGAGGCTCCGCTTCCCCCAGCACCGAGCTTGCCACCAACCCCATCGACGACCACGTCCAAGAGCAAGACCGCAAAGCCGAGGAGGCCAAACGCAAGGCCCTCTTTTCCGTAAAGTCCGACTCCAACCTCGTCGGCAAGTCGCCCAAGCGCACCGGCAGCTCGCCCGGAGCCACGCCCCTCGTCTCGGCACAGAAGAAAAAGTCGCCCAGCATCGGACGCGCCGACAGCGCCGGCTCGGACGAGAAGCGCCACATCAGCTTCAACCACCGCGTCGAGCAGTGCATCGCTCTGGATCACCGATATCCGGACTACGACGAGTACGACGAGGACGAGCTCGAGGAAGAGGAGGACGACGTCAGCAGCGAGGAAGAGGAGGTCTTGACCATGAAGTCTAGCCCCAGAACCTCGCCCGCCATCTCTCACGCCTCCTCCTCCTCAAAGCACCTCGAGCACCAGGCCACCATCGCCAAGCTCGCCCCTACCCGTCTCAAGACATCGGAAGTGTTGCCAGCGCCCTCCCCGGCCGTAGTCGACCCGACGGGCTTCCTCGCCACGCGCTCCAACAACGGCAGCACCGTCTCGACCTACGCCGCTCAGTACGGATACGCGCGTGCCGGCGTTCCCTCCAGTCACGGCGACCCGACGGCCCGCGGTGTGCAGTGGGATCTCGACGACGAGTTCACCGGCGACTTTGACTACTTTGACGGCCCAGACATGGCCGATGGCGAGCACGACAACTCCAACGGGCCGGTTTTTAACACTGGCGACGCTGCGAGCAGCCCTGACGCATCCCGACCCTACGGGAGCTTTTTTGACCACAGCGAGTCAGACAGGACTGATGGATCCTCATCATCCACGTCGCCTCAAGATTTAGCAACCGCGGCACCGGAGCCATCGCAGACCAGTGCCGCCCCGCGCGGCATCCTCAAGCACCGCATCGTGCATCAGACCGCCGCCGAAGACTACGACTCGCGCAGTCTCGAGGCCGAGGGCGACTACGACGTCCTCGGCACTTCGCATCAGGATGCCTCGTCCTTTCAGGACGCGTACGATGCATCGCGCAGCGGCGACGACCGCGAAAGGGGCCGGCCGTCGCAACGCCTTGGGAGTTCGGCGAGCTACGAGCGCATCCAAGACGCCGCCAGGCAGGGCCGCGGACGCACCAACAGCGGCAACTCGTCCGGCCACTCTCCCACCAACTCGATCGCCAACGGCAGCTACGACCGCTACGCCGCCTCCACCAGCCCTTCGTCCGCCTCGCCCGCCAATGCGAGAGGCGCCGCGCGGGGCGAGTCCTTTCGGACCGGCAAGGACGCCAATCGAGATGGAGCTGATGGCCTTCGAGCTGGAGATGCAGCAGCGCACGGAGGAAAGGCGCGTCCGGTCGCGAATCGGGCCCTGAACGAGTACGACTCGGACGGCCAGGGATCGTACGGCCTGGCGAGCCCCAACTTTCCCGCTAGCCCTCACCTAGATGCCAAAGACGACGGCGGGTCCAATCGATCGTCGCAGGATCGCGACGGCGACCGCTACATGTACGGCGAGGACCGCACATACTGGTCGGACGACCGCAAGGCGTCGAAAGCAGCATCGCGCGCCAAGTCGGCCTCGCCCAATGCAGCGGCCACCGAGCTGAGCGTGGATGTCGAGAACATTCCGAGCAATGCGCCGCCGGCGTCCAAAGTCACCAACGTCGTCAGCCCCGACGGCCCTGTAGAGGTGGGACCGACGCCGCTCAACACGCCGACGTTTATCCTGGCGCGCGCGAGCGGCAAGCGGCGCTCGGGTTCCGGCAGTGGCGCCGACATCACGGGCGGCGGGCCGTCGAGTCCGACGCTGCCGCGCCGCACGAGCGCCACGGGCGCGCTGGTGGCGCCGCACAACTCGGAGCCGCGCGTGCCTCTCGCGCACGACTATGTCGAGGAAGACGAAGGCGGCATCATCGGCCGCGCCGTCGAGATCGTCAACACCGCACGCGATCTCATCGGCGCGCTGCTCGGAACGGGCGACCGCGGCCGCTCCTGGCGCGAAGCTTGATCGCACACCAAACCTCGCGACCTTTTCCCAATCTTCTGCATTCTCTTCTCTCCCATCCTGCCCTTGTGTTCGCCTCACACCGGCCGTAGTCCTTATTGTACCCGCATCCGCGCTGACACTCATACTTGCACGCTGCTTTGCACGACGACATTCCGAATTCGCATTGCGTTCCTTGCGTCCCAACGAGACCTGGCGACGGGTTAGGGTGCGAGCGGGTTGGGTTTGGGTGGAGGAGGGTTGTGGAGGAGGGCGAGGATGGTGGCGCGGAAGGTTTGGAGCCAGAATTGGAGGATGCTTTGGGGCTGACCGGGGTCGGGGGTGGGGTAGAGCCATTCGGCGTAAGACAGCTGGAGGGTGGTTTGGGAGCGGAAGGAGAAGACGTGGAGGATGGGTTGGCGGATGGCGACGCGGCCGACGATGCGCAAGCTGTGTACCTCTAGCGAGTCACTAGGGGTGATGGGGTGGGCTGGGAGGAAGAACGGATCGACGCGACCTACGGAGCTGAGCCAGGGCATGGAAGGGTAGTGTGCATCGCTACGCAGCAGGAGGTATTCGGTATGCATGGTGCTGAGCATGAGCGCCTTGTCGTATCGCAGCCAGTTGGCGTTGTTTCTTCCCTCGGTGTACTGCCCCGCCAGCTCGTGCGTGAGCGAAAGAAGCTGCGCAAGATCGGCGCGCGTGATGTTGGGCAGCGGATCGCGCGGATCGGTGCCGGATGGGGTGGTGGATAGCTCGGCTTGCGGTGTCCAGGTTGCGTGCGCAACCGCAACTTTGGTCGGGAATCCACTCATACACAGCCCCAGGTACGAGCGGTACTCTGGCTTGAGCGTATCGCGCTTGCTAATGGCGTTGGAGAAGCTGCCCAAGATCCGGTCCGGCTCATCGTATCCCCTGTTGCTCTTGGGTTTGGCGACCAGACCGCGGTGCTTGCGCGTCCAGGTGGTAGCCATGTGTCCACACGCTTCGAGGAAGGGTGCCAGCGTCAATCCGCGCGCCTTGAGCACTGACAGCAGCTGCCGAGTCTGGTCTCCATCCAGCGTGTCGGTGAGAATCGCCGTGTGGGTGCGTTGGCCCTCGAATGGCTTGCCTGTCTGCGGCAGCAGCCCGAGAGGCAACATATCGCCCTTCTCCGCCACCGCTCGACACACCTTCACCAGCGGAGGCGCCACCGCCATGGTGCGCAGCGAGCTCCGGCTCTGATGACTGCGCAGCGTGAGGCCGACGAACTTGCCGGCAATCTTGTCGACCGCGGTTGGGGGGGTGGCTTTGCCATTCATGCGCTCTTGGTTGACGCGTTCGACCTGCTTGAGCTCCGTGCGGGAGACGTCCCACGACGGCGGCGGATGCTCAATCGCATCCTGAAGCGCCGGCTCCAGACGCGCCACTTCTTCGCCCCACCGAAGTGTCTGCGGGCTGGGATCGGCAAGCACGCCAGCGACCGAGGCAAGCAGGTGGTTGAAGACGAGCAGAGTGCCGATTCCTTCCGATACCGAGTGGCACTGTTCCACCAATAGCCGCGCGTCGATGCCGGCGCCCTCGTCGCACGGCCAAAAGTGGATGCGCAGCCGGTCGCGACCGGGCACACCGTCCTTGGTTGCCTCGGCAATAAACGCCGCATACTCGGCGCCATCCTCCTGTCTCTCTTCGTTGTGGACCACGACCACCTGGTCAAGCCATCGCTCGACATCCTCGTCGCTCTGCACACCATCGTACACCAGCGCCACCTGCAGATCCACGTGCTTCTCGATAAACGCTGGCAGCTCCAGCTTGGCGATCCCAAACTCGGCCCTCCTTGCCAGACGCAGCGCGATGGTCGGATGTTGGAATCGCAATCTTCTCACCGCCTCCCTCAGCTCCCCCAACCCCAACTTGCACGGGCCCGTGCCGCGCCGCACGAGACACGTGCCGAACATGTCGCCGTGTTGGTGAAAGCGATTTTGCCAGTGCAGGATAAAGTTGGCCATATTGTCGACATTACGCCACCACACGTGGCCGTTGTCGTGACGCAGAAGATGCCATCTATACTCGGAGTCCGACTCCGGTGGCGAAGCTGCCATCTTGTGGGCCTCGTCCGCTTCGTCGCTGGGGGAGGGCAGGATCGAGGTAGCTGCCGACGAGACAGCATCGACGTTGGCCGCAGACGCACCAGATACGCTGCGTGCGCTGGAGCGCAGCGAGCTCATGCTCTTGGCTGCAAGCCGAATCGCATCGCCCACTCGAAGACCTCCTCTGCGTCCGTCGGTGCTCGTGCTTGGCTGGGCGGAGAGGTGCGACATCCTGATCGTTGATGGGCGGTCGTGCAGATGATGGAGCTGAGGGTAGATACAATGGGACAGACGGCGAACCTCCGTTCGAGCCCCGCAGCTGAAAGCGCTCCTGCTCAAGTCTCCTTCGTAGCGACCTTCACTTGCGGGCTGGCAAATGTTCGCGCCTCGAAAGCACGGAGGGGCAACCGACATGCTGGCGTCCAAGCCTTCGCCAGAGTGCGGGGAGCGCGGCACGCTCAATTTGACAGGCAGCCGACATTCCCAGCTGCAGGGGCGCGAGCCACGCGTCTGCTCGCCAGCCAGCTGCAACACCGCCGTCGACTCCTCCATCACTGTGATCTAACAGTTTCGTACAAATTCCTGCCGCCCATCAAGTGCTCCTCTCTCCGACGTTGGTCTGGTCACACCCACGGAATACAAGAATGCATGGTATGACGACATCCTGAGAAGAAGCAGGCTACTAAAAATACAAGGAAAGGCCATTCGCCAATTGTCCAATGCACGAAGCGTCGTGTGATAGAGTCACCTTCACTGAGGTGGGTTGGTCGGAAGTGCACGCGGCTGCTCGTCCCTTCTCTGCTGGCCACCACTGCACGGCCATCCCGACGGATTCCAGCTGCCCAGGTCATACTGGTCAGACGGGTACTCGCAGCCAGCGATGCGCGTGTAGAGAGGTGTGGTATCGTCGGTGTTGTACCATGCGCCAATGGTTGGGCTCGGGGTCGGGTCACCTGATACGGTCGCAGTAACTGAGAAGGTCGGTTTCGGCACCGGCGTGATCGACATGGTTGGTGTGTAGCTCGGGAGCTGCGAGACTGGCCTGTTTGCCGATACGAGCGACTGTGGCGGCCAGGGATACGCCGCCGTGTTGGGAGAGTAGGACGACGCGCGACCCGTCTGCCAGTTCTGGAAGGCGCTGCCCCACGTCGCACTCGGCACACCAGTTCCCAGTCTTGATGCCTGCGCCGCACACGCGCCGCTCGACTCAGCCAGAGGGTTCGTCGGCATCCATCCCTGCTGCAGTCCGAGCGAATACGACCACATCGGCGATGTCGGCTTGCCCGTCCTCAGGCTGTTGCCGGTCTTCCAGGTCCAGAAGAAGAAGTCGCGCAGCGAGCCCATCGACGTGAGCGCAAATCGGCGCAGGCCCCGCTTCATCTCGTCCGAGTAATTCTCCCAGTCGTCGAACGGCTGGCACGATCCGACGTACGGGAAGTTGCCAGGCGTGGGACCTGTATAGGAGCCGTCGTAGCGATGTCCGTCGCGGACGCCGTTGAGGAAGAGGCCGCAGTCGTTGATGGCCAAAGACATCTCGCCGCCCATGGAGACGCCCATGTTGGAGCGAGCATTGTCGAGCAGACCCGTAAACTGCTGGCACGGCTTGAGGATCTGCACATCCCAAGGGTCGTTGTTCTGCTGGCCGAAGCACAGGTACGGATGTGTGTCCCAGGCGACGCGGTCGCCGCCACCCAGGAAGCCCGACCACGAGCTGAGCGGAAGGAAACCATCGTGAATGGTCATGTATGGCCCGTTGCCCGCTCCGGTCCCTGCGATACTGCGCAAGATCGAGTAGACCTCCGAGTACCAGGACTGCAGCGCGGGCTGGCCGATCGAAATGGCGTAGGGCTCGTTGATCACGCTGAACATGGGCACGACATTGCGGATCTCGGGCTGGCTGATGAACTGTGCGATCTGTCGGATGTAGTCCAAAGTGCGCTGGCCGTTGGCCTTGCCCATCAATCCCTGCAAGTAGTTGATGAAGCCTACACGGCCCGAGTGGTTGTAGGCGTTCTGCGAACCGGGCACGGCGTGCAAGTCGAGGTTGATGCGAAGGCCGTACTTGCGTGCCCATTGGATCGCCTTGAGCACATAGTTCCACGCGACGCCCTCCAAGAACGGCTCGTTCGAGTACGTCTCCAATGCCCAGAAGCCGATGGGCAGGCGCACCCAGTTGAGGCCGGCGGCCGCAATGTTGGCAAAGTCTTGCTCGGTGATGAAGGTCTCGTAGTGCTCCGTCATCTTGGCGCGCAGATTGTCGGCGCCACCTTCGGACAGATAGCGTTGAGAGAGGGTGAACTCGTCCACGGCCGGATTGGACGTGTTTTCGTACGGCTCGTAGAGCGCGGGTACGATGAAAGGCTCCGTGACGAGCCAGCCGCCGAGGTTGACGCCGAGGATCCTGTTGCGTGCAAAGTCGAACTCTTGGTCGAGCGGGGGCGTATAGTTCTGAGCCTGTGCCGAGTTGTTGAGTGGCTGGGAAGCCCAGCGACCGCCAAAGTTGTTGATGTAGGTGAAGTTGTTGCCGTTGCCAAGGTCGATGACCGAGCCATTGACACCCCACGTCGCCACGACTTTTTCAGGTGCGGGAGCTGGGTTGGCTCCGGTCCCAGCTCCAGAGCCAGAGTTTGAGCTCGAGCCATTGGTGTTTGCCTGACGATCGCTGGACTTGTCCTTGAGTAGTACTTGCGTGATGGGCACCACGACGGCGACGACGCAAATGGCAATCACGGCAGCCACGGCGAGCACGATGCACCACTTCTTCCTAGCTGACATGCGCTGATCTTTGCCCCGCCCATATTTGGCGAGACCAACGGCACGATAGTCCTTTGGTCCTTTGGCACCAGCCTCGCCTTGGTGGAGGCCCTGGAATGCAGCGTTGCGTGTTGGTGGGGAGGGCGGATCGTACGCACCAGCGCGGTATTGCTCGATCTTCTCGAGATCCCTGGCTTGGCTGCCGCGCCTATCATAGTGGCTACTGGCTGCGTCGTCGGCAAAGTCTCTGAAGCTGCTGGGTGTGCCGCTCTGTCTCCAAAGCTGATAGACCGAATCGTAATCGCTGCGAGAGCGCACCGAGAGCATGTGCGAGCTTGCCAGAGACGTGGGGCGGGAGTCTGAGCGAGCGAAGGGAGGCGTGAAGGGACGCTCTTGCATGGGTGTGGAATGGCCGTGAGATAGAGCTGGATCGAACTGGTAGGCGGCTGCTGCCGAAAGGAAGCGACCTTCAGAGTCTGGCTCGAGGCCTTCGTCGAAGGCCGAGTACCGAGAGTTGCTTCGAGACCATTTTGGCGATGCGAGGCGTTGGAGGGAAGCGTCGGTGGCATCCGGATCGGTTGCGAATGATGTGTTGACGAGCAGAGGCTCTTCGACCGCGACGGAAGGAGGTGATGCCGGGAGCTCGTACGACTCGCCCGCAGTCGAGCCTCGTTGCCGCCGACCAGACATGCTGAAAGAAGGAGCCTCTTGGTTTGATGGCAGGGTGAAGTGTCCGTCTGTTCCCGGGCGAAGGGATCGTGCTCGTCGACGACGGCAACCTTGTAGACAGAGCGAGATTAGAGCCGGAGCCGATCAGCGGAGGAGGCGGGATGGTGGAGGCGAGAGGGAGGAGTGCGGAGAGGGGCTAGTGGATGGGAGTGGAAAGACGGGACCCAGGCTTTAGAAAGCCGATATAGCGGGGTCGGTAGCTTGACTGCACCAACTCAGGACGGCACTCTGGGACATCCTTCTGCCGGACCGGCAAGGTATGAGGGGAGCTGCCAAATCATTCGAGCCAGGCTCAAGGGCAGCGGTGCCCCGACGGGGACCCATCCTGCTCTTTTCGAGACGTCAGATCTCGCGGTCTGAGGCGAGGGAGAGGCAGAGAGGAGGGACGGCTGTATAGAATCGGCTTGGCTTGGCGCGGCAAGGACTTTGGTTCGGCTCTGGGCCGTCGTCGGAAGGCCATTGAGATGTATCGTAAGCGAAGCCGAGTGGCTGCCTGTCGTTGATTTTGGGCTCGATTTCTGCTCATTGGTTTCAGGGCCCTGTACCGAAAAAAGGCGCCGAAGGCATGCCGTCTTTGGCTGCACTCCACAGCCACGCGGGGTGCGTCCTCTGAAAAGAAAAAAATGTATCAATAAGAAAAGAAAGATCGGAGGCCCCCCGACAGGTCTTTTGTCTAGAGTACAGCAGGACTGCTGTGTTTGGGCGTGGCTGTCCATCATTGCGAGGGTGTCAACGATCTGCCGAGCCTCGAAAGGCCGTCCTCAGGGTCGTGGGAAATCGACAGGGGCTGCGGTCAGAGAGAGCGACGCTGGGATGCTGTTCGGCGCCCTCTTGGCGCGCTCCGATGGAAGCACGTCGCGGAGGTCAAATCACGCCTGCACGGGTTCGCCCCGACACAGCCCAACAGTGGTGAGGGCTCGCCAGACAATCTGATTTTTTTATCCCTCTTTTTCTCTGAACCTTGCCGCGCCCGCCCTGATGACGGCTTGCTGCAGCTGTCCTGCAGGTGTCACCCCTTCCAGGGCGGCAGGGCGGCAGGTCGGCAGGCCCGGCCGTTCCAAGACAAAGGCCACCTGACTTGTCGCGAGTGAGGACGCGCCCAGCCAAAAACACCCGCGCTGCCAAGACCTCGGCCTGAGACCCGTTCCCCACCGCGCCTCTGCCCTCCCTGCGATGCTCAATCTTTCGCCAAGACATGAGGCGGATCGCCCAGCTTGCAAGGGTCCTTGTCTCACAGCCCTGGCTATTGTGCACCAGCATGCTTGTACGCCCTTCCTTGCAGCTGGCAATACATTCCACATTGTTGTGCATCGACCGTTCCAGACGTGGTGGTAGATCCGCATCCATACGGGCCTCCAACGTATCAGTATCGCTTGCGTCGTCACAAGGCCAAACCTGCATGGTGGGCCAAGACTTACAACGCGCGAGGTCTTGCGTACTCGCGTCTGCGTTCTTGGCGTGTCGTCGCCAAGCCGTGCTGTGCTTTGCCGTGCCCTGCTTCCATGCAACTTGCAAACGCGCCGCCGCATCGAGAGACGCGCCTCAGTCCCATCGACGCAGGAACCAGCCTCGTGCTCCCACCCGATCTCTCTCCCACTTCTCAGAACAAACACCGGCTCGGAACCCACACGTCGCTTCCCCGCGCTTTCGGGACGATTTGTCAGGATTGCGTTGTGACTGAGCCCTGGTCGGCCGGCATTGCGGCTCTTTCAATGCGCGAGGACGTCGGCCGAAGCCGTCTCGATCTTTTGCAGCAGCCTGCTGCGTTTCGGTGTGTCTGCAAACAGCGCCTTGACCAGTCCCGCGAGCTCCTTCCGGCTGTAGTCTACGAGCGCGCCCGCCTCAAAGGCGAGGAACTCGATGTCGACCAGCGAGCCCGTGAGGATCTCGATGAGATACGACGTCTTGAACCAGCTCGGCACCCACAAGGGCGCACTGCTCTGTTGCTCGCCCTCGGCCGCGAACACGCTCTCGAGGCTGCCGAGCGTCTTGACCAGCGATGCGATCTTCTCCGATTCGCTCTCGCCAATGTCCTCCAAGTCGAGCACGTCATGCAGCACCTTTTGAAACACCAGATCCACCAATCGTCCCATAGCGGCGTGGTACCGCGACGCCACCAGGACAGCACGCCAAGCCTTGGCAAGCTGCTGCAGCGTCTGCACCACCTGCTTGATGCACCGCTCGCAACGCGCGAACCGGTGCTCGTCAAATGTGCGTGCAAATCCATCCGCCTCCACGATTGTGTCGAGCAGGATCTTGGTCTGCGTCGTCATCTGCGCCTCGAACCATCGCTGCCCAAGTGCGCGCGTCAGAGCCGCTTCCTGCTCCAGCTTGACCAGCTCCTTGGTGCTCCACCGCTTGGCGCCTTCGGCATCCCGTTGGGCCCATGCCGCCGAGATCGCTTGGCCCTTCTCTTCCACGAGTCGAGCGAGCTCCCGCGCCAGATACTCGGAATCGTTGAAGAACTGCATGGCCAGTGCAGGTACATCCCGAAGCACCTCGCCGTGCGCAACGGGCATCAGCGCCCGATGCAACTCAAAGATCTTGTAGATGGTTCCGGCCAGCGCCTCGGCATCGTCGACGTTGCCGCCATTTGAGTCGCTGCCTCGCAGCAAACCGATGACCGTGTCCATGGTAGACTCGGCCAAATTGACCAGATCTTGCGATCTCTTGCTAATGACGCACGCTTCCTTCTTGATCGGTTCCTTTTGAGCAGCCTGCTGGCCAAACACCACTGTCGTTGACTCAGTCACGGACTGCACGTCGAGCTCTCGACGACCCGAGTCCGTCCGGTCGACGCCGGGGCCTGTCGAACGGAGAACAGTTGCTGTGCCCGGTGTTTCCGAAGCTTGCGGCTCAGGCAAGCCCGTGGACTCGGCGTCCGAAAAGTCTGCGCCCCATGGCGATGGTGATGGAGATCTCGCGGCCTCTTCAGGCGTTTCCGAGGGGGCAGCGAAGCTCTCCTCGACAGGAGAGACTCTTCCTACATCCCCGTCATTGACGTGAGGAGTCGTTTGCTTGATCTCGCTTGGAGGTTTGGCATCAGCGTTGCGCTCTGACGTGGTTTCCTTCACTGGAGAAATGGCAGTGATCCGTTCGACTTGGTCCGCCTCGGAAGCACTGGATCCCTCCTCGAATCCCCATGCATCTGGCTCCGGCTCCTGCGCTGCAGGTTCGGCCGCTTTCGCAGACGCCTGCGCAGGGGGGTTCTGCGGCTCTGCAGGCTCCGAGGCCGCGGAAGGCGCAGATGTCTGCGCGTTTGGCAGTGCGAGGCTGTCAGATGGTCGACTGGTGACTTGGACTGGAGCTTGCAGGGGGGATTTTCTACGATCATTGCCGACCAGCTGCGGTTGCTCTTCTGCTTCCCAGGGATCGTCGTTCTCGGCGTCGTCATCATCCTCGAGCCCCCATGCATCAGGAGCTGTTGTGACGGACGGAGCGTCTGCCTTCGACGGCTCACGAGGTGCAGCTTCCTGGTGTGAAAGACTTTCGTACGAGGACTCGACAACCGCGTTGTCCCTGTGAGGAGACGCAGAGCTTTTCGCAGGGTCTGCCACCGCCACGCTCTCGACCTCGGCATCCTTGAAGGAGACTTCGGTGAGCACTGCTGACGGGGCCGCTGCTGTTTCGCCATCCTCGACATCAGTGTCATCTTCAAGACCCCACGCATCGGTTGCTGGCGTGTCAGGAGGCGCCAGGTCGCTGTGGCCCTTCCGATCCGTCAGCGGCGCGACAAGGATCGTGTCGGAAGGTGTCTGCGCATTCGTCTGGTGAGTAGTTGCCACACCTTGGGCGACGGCATCCTGAGGTGAAGAATCGACAAGGGTTGCTGGGACTTTCGGAGGATCAGAAATCGCCGCCGCCGCAGCCTCGGAATGCTTCACATCTGCGTCGACATCATCATCATCGTCATCAAGATCCCAAGCTTGAGCTTCATCGTGATGGTCATGGCCATCGGCACCTTCGTCTTCGCCGAGCCCCCAGGCATCAACATCCGCACCTGGAACAGCTGCTCGCGTTTCGGGCTCTTGGATTGCGAATGCACTTCGCTGCGACGAGCTCGAGCTCATGCTTGCTTGCATCCCGACCGAGCTGCTGGGTGAAGAATGGTGATCGTCGCGAGCCAGGGCTGCCACACTCTGATGAACGTATTGGCTGACCGACTGATTCGACGCAGGCTGTTCCGCAGAATGAACACTTTCGTCGAGTGCGGGGGCCGACTCGAGCTCTTCGTTGTCATCGTCGTCCAAGCCCCATCCATCCTCTTCCAGCGCTGCGTCCTCGGCATTGAAAGGACCGCTTCCGAGTTGGTCTTGTGGGCGGATAAGACGTGCGCCGAGCTTTGGCTTGTGCCTGCTGCGGGCCCCTGCCGCTGCTGCCGATGATGACGAGGAGGAATTGCGCGTCAAAGGCGTGGCTTCTTGCGTGAGATCTTCGCGATATTGGAGACCACGGTGAACCTCGGAGGACGATCGTTGAGATCCGGCAGCAGGCTGCACGGTAGGCTGCGCAGGGAGCTGTGTCGTGGCCTGAGCACCAGGGGGAAGTGCGGGTGCGTCCAAGTCGATTTGCACTTCCTTCCAGCCAGCGTCAGGTCCAGCCGCAACGATCAATGCTCGAGCTGCCTCGAGGACTTTCAATGCGGGAGAAAGAACCTGCTCGGACTTTGGCACATCCTTCGCGTTCAAAGGACTTCCCGTTGCGACTGCCAGGTCTGTAGGAGGTGACTGAGGCGACTGTGGTGTGGCGTGGGAGGCTCGGGTAGGCGCTGCGGTTGTTTCTGCGCTGGGCGTGTGCAGACGCTCGAACCGCTTCTCGAGCTCGACGATCGCTGGCATACTTTTGAGAGCTGGCCGAGAACGGAATGGCTCCATCACCTGTGCGACCTTGGGGAGCTCGCTTCGCAAGGCCGTCGGATCGGACTGGGTTTGTAGCTTTTCGAGGCGTTCGAGCAATCTTGTGGCGGCGAGCAAGTCTGACAGGACCGAGAGCAGAAGCGCCTGTTTGGAGCTCTGTGCGAGGGCATCGTGATACTCGATCGCTTTCGGGGCCACTTGGGGACCCACGGTCACCAGGCGAGAGCTTGTCTGGTTGATGGAGAGCCACAGTCGGTTAAGGTCGTGATCGACAGCGCGCGTCGAGGTAGCTCTTGCACGCAGCTCTTCAGCATGAGCAATCACTTCCTTCTCCGCTTGGCCTTCCAACGCGTCGATCTGAGCATCGATGAGAGAAACCTTGGCCGAGATGGGTAGCGCAGGTGCCGAGCCGGGTGCCGAAGAGGACGTGCCGGGCTCGAATGCGACGGTGGAATCGGCGGAGATCGAGGCGAGAAACGTCGCTGCAGAGAGCGAAGAATCCTGCGATGCCGGTCCAGAGCTCATCTTGCTACAATGGAATTGGTGTTGCAGAGCAATCGAGCGATTTCATCACCATGTCACAATGACCAGCAATGAAATGTGCAGTCCTCGGGAAACGGAATCGAGTTGGAAGCCGGTCAGCTCGAGCTGCTCAACCTGGCGTTGGTGATGGGAGACAGCACACGAGCCGCTACCGCGTGACTCGTCCGGAAGTTCCGCTCGCCGGGGGGAACGCTGGCCGGAGACGCGGGCTGAGCAGAGCAGATCCGAAATGCTTCACCGGCTATCGGGTGTCCGTACTTCCGAAAGAGAAGCCTGGGTCAAAGCCGTGATTGACGTCTGGAACGTGTTCGGGATCGGTCGGTGATGTGGAAGGAAAGCTTGAGACCAACACCAGACGTGACCAGCAAGCAAGCTCTCCGCACAGTTGCTCGAAATCACGGGTTGCGGAAATCGTGTTGCAGCTTGGGGGCTCGCCCATCGCAGCCAGCTGTGCCGCGATTTTTTTGAAAAATCACACCGCCCGACCATGCTTGCGTGGAAGCGGGGCTTGGCTGGCTGGCCTGAGCGCGGGCTGCACTTCATCTTCCGCCAACGGCTCAATTTGCCCATCCCACGCTTCGAGCCAAAGCCTATGCGATGAGTCAAAGTCAAGCTCTGCCTTCCCACATGCGACACCATGCCTCGGACAAGCACCGTGGGAGCTTCGCTTTGCAGTCCACGTGAGTCTTCCGAGCCCGTCTGGTACGCAGAATACAGCTCGAATAGGTCCGTCAAACCTGGCAGGTGGGTCGTTGCTCTCTGAGTTTTGAGCTCGTGTGCGTGCTGCTTTTGCTCGCCATGGGATGCTTTTAAGACAGGCTCGACATTTCATAGAGGCGGACAGCCTCACCTATCGCATTTAGAGGGAAACGCGAAGCACACGTATGGATACAGAACGGCATCGTACTTGCCTCCTGCCCTTGCCTCCTCGGTCGGCCTCCGCGGCTTTTCCGTCCACCGATTCGGCATGCAGGGCAAGTCGACGTGGTCAGTGCTGTGAATAAAGTTGAGATCACATCGGCTTTGAGTTCTGTCACTTAGTCTTTCTAAGCAGAGATGACAGGTGCCGGATGTTGCGATGGCCCCGGCTCACTCGAGCTAAAGTTTTGTTGTCGCCTCGCCGCTTTCCGTCTTCATGCAAGCAACGTTGTTCGGGCTCGAAAGGCCCATGCGATCGCTTCGGCAGACATCCGAAGAGCAAGCAAGCGCATGAACATGGTGAGCCAAGAGCTGCGCTTGTGTTTCTTCTCGACCTGTAGTTTGCTTGGCTTCGGCATCCAAGCGGCTGCCTGCCGTTTGTTGGGAAACCAAGGTCGGCAAAGCCTACTATGCTAGCCCATCCGCACCGGTCAACATCGGCTCGATGCTGGGCGTGCAGGAAGGAACAAAGTTCTCGAGCATGAAACCAAGCGTCTCGCCGAAATTGAGGCACGCTGCCGTCCCTGTTGGGCCGGTAATGCTCTGAAGCAAGCATCGTCATGCGTCAGTCCCTCCTGATTGGACGCGATCCTTCAATTCCCAAAGTGTCCGGCGGATCTAGGTTCGCGAAGTATGATCGCTCAAGCTTCATCGGCCATCGTCGGCCAAGCCAAGCCTTCTCCGAACGGAGGATGTGTCTCGATCTTATCAATCTCATACAGCATGGCGATTCGGGCACCATTCTGCCTATGCTCCTCGGTCAAGCGTGCCTTTCCAGCTGGCAACGTTCACCTCGGCATTTCCGCTTGCACGGCAACATTCCATTCCCAACCCGAAAGATCGAGCAGGATCCAGTCCCAGGGCAGCGAAAAACGCCTTAAAAGCGCTCTGTCTTGTCTACAAGCCGAACGGTCCGAGCGCTTCTTCAGACAAGACCTTCACAACTTCTTCTCGAAAGACGCAAGGCTCCTTGCCTGACTTTGGGCAAAGTCTCGCACTCGTTCCTCGCTGAAGTCCTTTGATCGGTCACCATGGTTCGACTGGACACCCCAGATCTGCTTTCGCAGATGTCTTCACTTTCTCAGCCAGAGTCGAGCCAGCAAGGAAACGCGGGCACCTCGCAGTACGATGAGCAGCAGACTCTCTCTGGCGCCATCAACTACGCTGCCTGGCAGCCCAACGGGCAGGTTTCGACTTCGACGCGTTGGGCTGAGGTTTCGACTTCGACGTCTATGAATGCCGTCGAAGATTCTTTTGCGTCGTTTCAGCCGTCTATCCGTGTTCAGAACATGTCGTATCCTGCGAACGGCCCCTTTCAGCCTCATCTCGCTGGTGACTTGTCTTCGCAGACCTCTAGCGGATCCATCATGAATGATGCTCTCTCGAGAGAGTCCATCTCCGATGCATCCACCCGCCGCGAGAGCCAGGGCAGTCAAGCGACGCAGAAAAAGAGGCAGAACATGCTACGCATCCCCGGTGCGCCGCCTACCGTGCAATCTGCGCCTGTGCGCAACGGCGTGGACGTGTCGGCAATTGCAGGCTCGACTGCAGCCGCCCACGGGGCTGGCGGGAGACCGAGCCAAGGAAGCTCGCTCAAGAACATCGAGGCTGCTATCCAAAGCTTCTGGCTGGTCTCGGAGAACAGGATGCAACAGATGCACGAAGAGCTTCGCTCGGTGTCGATGCTCGTCAAGACTGCTTGCTACGAGCAGGAGCAGACCCGCCTGAATGTCGGGCAGATCCTGGCGCTCCAGGTACAGATCACCGAGAAGATAGTTCGCGCCGCCGACGAGAGGAAGTACATCTTTGCTCGCATCAAGACGCTCGAAGAGACAATGGCCACTCAGCATGCTCAGGTCCAGGAGGAGCTCGTGCTTATCCGGAAAGAGCTCAAGGAGGGCTTGGACTCGGTCGTCGAGCAGACCCAAAGGGGACGTAAGCCGCCGGCTGCCAAGAGCGCAGGCAATGGAGCAGCGGCAAAGAATGGCAAGGCAGGCAGCCCTACCAGCAAGAAGGCCGCTACGAGTGCGGCGAATGCCAAGAAGCGCAAGCAATCGTCCGCCGAGGGGATCGAAAACGTCTGCACTCCCAGCGCTGATGTGGGCCAGCCTTCGACGCTGCGACCATCGCCTCCGCAGAGGCCGGGCAGCGCCTTCGCCTTCCCTGATTCACTACCCTCATTCCAGGTGCAGGACGCATCATTCGCGCGCATGCAGCCACAAACACAGCCCTATACGAAGTCGGCGCCGCCCTACGTTCAGACGCACCAGCAGTCGGGTGGATCGATCGAGATTGGCCTCTGCTCGTGACCTGGACGGACTCTACCGTCCTGGGCCAGATTGAACGCCGCTGAGAAGCGGACATCCTTAGGTTTCTTAATGGACGATGTGATGACGGACGTGTTGCGCAATGTCTTCTCGCTTCGCAAATGACTGTGGTGTCCTCTAACAGGTCATGTTCAGATGATGGTCTTCTTGTTAGCTCAGAAGCGAGGCCGGCGCTCGTCTGTCGAGAAGCGTAACATTTCGGAAGGAAAAAAATATAGAGCTGTGGCTGCACGCAGTTCTGTCGGCCCACGGCACTACGGGTTGGAAAAGGCTCCGAGATTCGGAAGATGCACCCGCCCGAGCCGCGCCGTGCCAAGTTTTAGGCGATTTGGGATCGTGCGCCCACACAAAGGGGGCAGAGCGAAAGCGGGCGCCTCGTCGCTGCAATTCCGATAGCAGAAAAACGCTCCGAGCTTGCCACTGTCTCGCTGCTCGGCGCCTTTCTCCAGCTGTCCGTCGCTGTGGTCCTTGCTTGTGGCCCCTGGCAAGAGCGGCTTCCGTTCGCCGGGTCCATACTGATCCTGTAGCATGGTCGGAACGCTGGCTTGAGACTACCATCATCATTTTCCTGAACAGTAGCAAGCGGGCCTCTGCAGCACACCTTTTCGCATTGATCTTCGCCCCGACCCGCCAGAACAGCGCCCCACCAACTGATCGGTTGCTTACGCGGACGCTTTGACCCCACCAAACCCCTCGCACCGGCATTGTTCCGAGTCGCAGTCCTCTGCACGGCACCTTTCAGAAAGAGTCCGAGACGCAGTAGTTTTAATCCTGCCTCCCTTCATCGCAGCCAACCTTGTCTTCCCTCGCTCGGGGCCAATTCGACCTTCGCTTGAGCTTTCATTGTTCCCAAGTCCGTCTGCCACGCTCGTATCGGTCGCTATATAATCGACCTCGACGATCAAGGGCGGATTCAATCATCACCATCGTCACGAGGCCTTCGTCAACATGACCTCTCACGACCACTCCAGCATGTCCGGCATGTCAGGCATGTCAGGCATGTCAGGCATGTCCGGAATGGACGGATCTTCCAGCGCATGCTCCATGAACATGCTTGGCAACTGGCAGACCATCAACACTTGTGTCCTCACATCGTCGTGGCACATCAGAACGGAGGCCCAATTTGCCGGGACGTGCATCGGCGTGTTTCTGATCGTCTTCCTCATCGAGACGGTGCGAAGATGGAGCCGCGAGTTCGACCGATGGATCTTGGAGCGCGCCATGGTACAGAGGAGGGAGGCCCGTCGCCGCACGCAGCAACTCAAAACAGAGATGGCCTCGCGTCTTGCCGACGCCGATCCATTGCAGGACCGATCGACCATGAAGCAGAAGCTGGAACAGCTCGACAGCATCTTCTTCGGCATCCCGCAAGACAGGTCCGGATGCCGCCAAGCGGCACTCGACTCGATGCGCTTCCGTCCGCAGATGTGGCAGCAACTGCTGCGCTCGCTTTTGTACGGTGTGCAGTTCACTGGCGCTGTAAGTACCTTCTGACGATCATCCGACCTATCGTCAAGACTCTGCAAGCCGACGCTGATGCTGACAATCTCGTCTTGCCTGCCCCTTGCTCGGATGTTAGTATTTGATCATGCTGATCGCCATGACGTTCAACGGCTACATCATCATCGCGATTGTGCTGGGAGGCATTTTTGGTCACTTCTTCTCGACGTGGGATACCCTGGGGTCTTCGCATGTGGTTGACATCGACACGCTCGGCCTGCCATCGGAAGGCGGAGCTGTCGTTGCGCAGTCGGACGATGCGGCAGCTCCGTGCTGCCAAACCGGAGCTGGCAAGGACTCTGCGAGCCTGTCGAGCGTCTCGGACGAGGCGAGTCACGCCAAGCAGCATGTCGTCGCGCTACCGCAGCATGGTTACGGCTCGGGCGCCTGTTGCGTGTAGACCGAGCCCCATCAGATTATAGACCTGCAATGCCCAACTCTTCATCTCACCGTAGTGTCTGTTGCAGTGCCACTTGCATCCAGAGCCACGAGCCGAGCCGAGCCGATCACAGAACGACTCGTTGCTCAAGGTCTAGAGTTGAGCAGAGCCGAGAGCATAGTGAAGCGGGCTTGAGAGTGCTTTTAAACGATTTCCAGCTGCCGCTCCAAGGACGAGGAACGCGTGCGTTTGGCTGCACGTCCCCTTGGCTGGGCGCGCGTGTGTTCGGCAGAGGGGCGAGAGGCGCCGCCAACCAACACTGAAATTCGCAGAGCCAAGGGCGAGGCGCTCAGGTCGCCGTGTCTCACTCTTGGCTTTGTGAGCGCTTGGTCCATGACTCCCGCACGGACGAGCTTTATCAGCTTTGAGCGGTCCGACAAGTGCTGCTCGTCTTGCCATCAACTCCTCAGCCGACCTCTGAGAGTGTCATGGTCTCTTCCACTCCCTCTCCTCCAGCTGCGGCTGCTGCTGCGGCGTCGACATCGGCTTCGGCATCACCATCGAGCGAAGCGGTTGATAACAAGACCGATGTGGCGCCGTCAGCTGAAAGCAGCGAACGCACCGAGCCGAGCGCGACCCTTCACAGCTCGGAAGGCACGGATCAGGCGCTTGGCGACGCAAGTAAGACATGCTCACCGTCGAAAGAGGCGCTCGCTGATGCGATAGATAAACTCGCTGTGAACGAGTCAGACCCGGCCGTCGGGGGATCCGAAGCAGCAGCCACTGCAGACAGCGAACAGGTCTCGGACTCAGCACCACAGCTCGAACACCAAGCATCGGAAGACACCGACAGAGGAGGCGGCCCGGCTGAGAACAGCTCCACCGATGTCATGCAAGCGGAAGATACCGTCGACACACCCATCACCGCCGACAAACCTCACGCAACGGCCAGCGCTGCCGACAACGATGCGAAGACCAGCTCGCCGACACAACAGCCAGACGAAGATACGCACGCGGATGCGCCGACCACATCTGCACCTTCTGCGTCGACAGTGGTTGAAGACGATGCAGCCGAGGTCGAGGAGCAAGCGAAACTCGCCGAGACCTCAACAGAAGCATCGGCTGGAGCCGAGAAAGGATCATTCTCTTCAGCCCAGGCAAGCTCGCCACCTCCAGCGCCATTCGAAAAGGACACCCCTCCAGCTCCGGCTTCGAAAGAAGCGGCACAGATGTCGGTGGAGGACGCGGTCACAGATGTGGCCTCCCCTTCGACGCCGGCAGCGGCCGGGATCGGACGATCGGAGAGAGCAGCGCTAGCAGACCCCGAGAGTGTGGCAGCCGTTGCGCATGCCTTCGGTCGCGATTCTCCAGCGCTGCGCTCGTCAACAGACACGCCGAAGCGTGTGGCAACGCCAGTCGAGCCGACGAGCATCAGCAAGCCCTCGCAAAGCAGCGGCGCCGACGCCGATGCGGCCAAAAGCACAGCCACAGAACCATCAGACCAACCGCAGCCCGCTCGAGCTCCGCGTCCTGACCCCGATGCCGAGTCCGAAAAGACTCCGAGTCAGGACAGCAGCGCCTCGCGCGGCGGCATCAGGATCGGCAAGGGACCACCCCCTGCCACTCAGGCAAGCGAAGAAGTGCCGTTCGACTTCAATCGCTTCTTGGAGCAGATGAAACATCGCAGCGCTCAGCCCGTCGCCGAGTACGTCCGCAGCTTCATCAAAGGATTCGCAAAGAAGCCGTACCGCACGCAGGACCAGATCAAGCTCATCTTTGACTTTCTCGACTTCATCGCCGCGAGGATGCGCGAATGCGATGTGTGGAGAAACCTTGGCGAGACGGACTTCGAGAATGCCAAGGAGGCCATGGAGAAGCTTGTGATGAACCGCCTCTATCCGTACACCTTTACGCCTGCGGTGCACAAGGAGGGTCGCTGGGCGGTCCAGACCGACGACCTGGAGCGCGACCGGGTGCTGCAGCAGCGCATCGCCCTATTCGGCTGGCTCAAGGAGGAGCACCTCGATGTGCCTGTCGGCGACCACTCGCGCGGCTTTATCGAGTTCTCGATCCAGGAGCTCCTCAAGATCAACCATTACAAGGCACCCCGCGACAAGCTCATCTGCATCCTCAATTGCTGCAAGGTCATCTTTGGCATGATCCGCCACCTGTCGACGCAGGAGAATGCAGACACATTCATCCCCGTGCTCATCTTTGTCGTCCTCAAGGCGAATCCGGAGCACCTCATCTCCAACGTCGAGTACATCAGCCGCTTCCGCAATCCGGACCGCCTCTCGAGCGAGTCGGGCTACTATCTGTCGAGCTTGATGGGAGCGATCGCTTTTATCGAGACCATGGACTACACGTCGTTGAGCAACATCACGCAGGACGAGTTCGAGAAGCGAGTCGAGGAGGCCGTCTCTTCGCTACCGGAGCCCGAGCCGTCGGCCGCTGTGTTGGATTCGTCTCTGCGCGCCCAGCCGTCGACGCCGCCACCAAGAGGCCTGCAGCCCGGCTTTGGCAACTCCGAGCATCAACGCAGCGTGAGCGGGGTCAGCGTTTCGGCGCCGTCGGGACCAGGCGAAGAGGCTGCCAAGGCGCTTCCGTTCACGCCGATGGCTGCCTCGCTCGCCGACGACACGCGCGCCTTCTTCCTGCGAACCGGCGAAGCGGCGCGCACGGGTCTCAGTCGACCGATGGGCGCGCTGGGCCGACTGATCAATGAAGGAATCGAGGGTATCCGAACGCCCAGCAGCAGCAACAACGAGAGCGGCGCATCGACCGAGAGGCACAACTCACCAGCTCCGGGCTCTGGACCCAGCTCTGCAGGTATGACGCAGTCGACGTCGCGATCCAAGCTTTTTGGCGGGCTGTTCGGATCGCTCGACACCTCGGAAGCTGCGGCTCAGGAGCGTGCACGCTCGGCGGGCTATCCCGGTCAGCAGGGAGGACGACGTCCGGCGACGCTTCTCGACGACGAACCACAGACGCCTTCGACGGGCGACCTTGCGCAGGATGGCTTCCATCCGTACCAAGCCGGCGGCGCAGGAGGTGTGCTGGGTGCACCGCCTCGACTGGTGGCGCGGCCCAACATGCCGCAGCGCAACTACTCGATCGACGAAGCCATGTTTGACGACGAGTCGGCGGGCCGACGCAACCTGATGGCCGCTTCCGCGGGCTCGCGAGCGGGTCGGAACGACGTCGACTACTTGGATTCCGACGATGAAGAGGACCGGATGGGCGGATCTCACGCGGACCGTGGAGCGCCCAATGCGGCCGCCGCCGAGTACATGCGTCGTCGGATGCAGATGCAGCAAGACTTTGGCACGGGCGTCAGCGCTGAGTTGCCGTCGACGCCGTCTCGCCGCGCGGGATACGAAGGCATGGACCCGAGTCAGCTTCAGCCTGGCCGACGCGAGGAGGTGGCCATGGAGCATGCGCAGACCGAGCAGGCGATCCAGCGCTCGCTCATGGATCAGAATCGGCTCGAGGCGATGCAGGCGGACGAGGCAGCGCAGAACTCGGCGAGCATGGAGACGCTCAAGTCGATTTTCCCCAGCATGGACGACGCCTTGATCCAGATGGTGCTGCAGGGCTGCGAAAACAACGTCGAGACGGCCATCGACCGGCTGCTCGAGATGCAGTGAGGATCGACTCTTAGTTGCATTCCCAACCCATGCATTTCTTATGTTGAAAGCTCCAAGGGCGGTGCGTATTTACGTGAGGGTGAGCTTAGTTTTGCGTCTTTGCAAGGGGAACGGGCACAGGACGACGCATGGCCATGGCGATTCTTGGCATGCTTCCGTGGAGCCTGGACTGGGTCGCAGGCTGAGCAAAAGGGGGATTGCGATTGGATCTCTTGCCGTGTGGACTGGGTGACACTGGATGGGCGTGGGCTATCAATAATCTCATGGGGAAGAGTGGGGGGGGGAGG